ATCCTGTAGGTGCTGTGTGATTGCACTTAGGATGATCTGCTCCGTAACCTTGCCAGGCACTGAGGTCAGGCTGACGGGCCTGTAGTTTCCCGGGTCCTCCTTCCGGCCCTTTTTGTGGATTGGCGTGACATTCGCCAACTTCCAGTCATCTGGGACCTCCCCAGTGAGCCAGGACTGTTGGTAGATGATGGAGAGTTGCTTGGTGAGCTCTTCTGCCAACTCTCTCATCACCCTTGGGTGGATCCCATCTGGTCCCATACACTTGTGGGGGTCCAAGCGGCTCAGCAAGTCGCTGCTTCCTCCTGGATTACAGGGGGGCTATTCAGATTCTTATCTCTTTCTACAAGCTCCAGAAGCCAGCTGTCCTCAGGACAACCTGTCTTACTGTTGAAAACCGAGGTAAAGAAGGTGTTAAATACCTCAGCCTTTTCCTCATCTTTGATAACTATATTCCCGCCCATGTCCAATAAAGAATTTCCCTTCATGCTAAAATAATCTGGTTAAGCCTCTCTCTTGGTGTACCCCAGTCACAATACTTTCTCCCTAGTTACAAAAAAAACTTATACTAAAAATTTCTCTCCTCTACCAACAGCCGTTTTCACCTCCAAATTTCCTGAAATAATCCGATTTCAGCCATTCACCCAGACTACCAATGGCGGACATTTTCTAGTACTTTATCTGTGTGAAAGTTGAATACCTATAGTTTTACAAAATTATCATCTTTATCTTACCTATCTGCACAGCTGTTACATTTTACCATACTCAGAACAGCTCCCATGAGGAAGAACATCAGAATGGGATCCAGCAGAATATATTGTGACAAAGTAATACAGCCTGTATCTGCAGAGAGACACACAACAATGTCAAAAAGGCTTGCAGATCCAAAGCGAATCTAAGATTGTGGGAAGTCAGTTTCCTGAGCATAGTCAAGACAAGGAGAAGGAGAGAAATTCTAGAAACAGAAGGAGATAAGAAAATTTCAACTTTTACTTGGGAAAAAAATGGAAAAAAACCCAACAGAACCAAAAAACAGGCAGTACAACAGTATCTGTGAAACACCATTTGGAAAGTGCTGATAACATATTCAAATGGAGAGCATTACAGACAGCAACGATCTACCGAGGGCACTAGCATTGTGCCAGAGCACGCTACAGGAGAAGTCATCTTTCAAACTGTACCTATAAGAAATGAATATTACTTGGGTATTTTAAGTCTCCATGCCTTAATATCTGTGTGCCCCCACAAAACCCCAATTTGGGTAACTCTGTTTGCAATGTTAATTTCTCCATTTGGCTCAATTCAACAAGGAACTTTATCCATTTCTTACTGTGAACTCTTCTGTAGTAACGCAGAGGCTGTTAAATATCTCTATAATTCATATAATTCATAGGGGAGACATCACTAGTGCGCAAAATCATTCCTGACCATACATCTTACAAAAATTCTTAAAATTGAGGTGAAATGTAGTCTAATGCTGTGGTTATGCAAATAACAGAAGTAGCTATGAACTAAACAAGACTGTAATATTCTCAAGAGGATCACCAGTTAAAAAGCCTCATATATGCATATATTAAGTGAAATTATTTTGCCTTTGAGAAGGTCTCTCATTAACTCAAATATCCAGTGATTAGATAACACATGATAATCCAGAAATTAAGTTATCTGAACAGTCAGGTTACTCAATTTTCCTGTAGCAGAAACACCTACCAAAAATAAGGATGAAAGCTGTGAGTAAGGCTGCTGGCAGTGACTTTGACAGTTCCAACACTGTGAGGTAGGCAAAGGGAACCAGGCAGGAGCCAAGGAACGCACAAAACTGCAGGAAAAGAAGATCATGGGAGAAGTTATAACCCTTCATAAGATGAACAAGTGCTCACACCCCTTCCTTTCCTTCATCTTCCACACCTACCAACAACAGGAGGTGTCACAGTCGCTGAACTGAGTCACTAAGAATATTGGACAAAAGCCAACTGAACAAAGACACTGTTCAGAGGACAGACACTTACTCTGCTTGTAGAGGTGTCAGGAACAACAGTCAGTCACCCTCTTGCTAGACTACGTTAGATATTCATAAAAAGATTGGTCAAGTAAATGTACTACACATCAACTATACTCCACTTATTTTAACAAGATACTAGAATATGAAATCTAAGAACAAAATACACCTGCACCTTATGTCTTTACCAGACCAGATTCACCTCCCTTACACAAATGAGACCAAGGATAGTTGAAGGAGAATGAACAGAAATCAAAAGAAAAGCAAGCAGTACAAATTGCTAGAAACTAAACCAAGATTTACTCTTCTTTCTAGGTACTAACAATTGGACATTGTTTCTTCTTTTGGCTTGTCTTATCTGCTGTCAGTTATATGGCTCTTGGTCTTCCTAGACAGCAGTACAGCCAGGGTTTCAGATGAATACAAGTCTAAATTCTGCCCCCCTGTTGCAGGCTCCATCAGTTTACTCAGCTCCCTAGTGGTGTCAAACTGCAGGTGATAGTGGATGATCCTGGCTTTTTGACATCCTTGGCTCCCCAGCAGAGCAGCCAGGCACAATGAAGTGACAGAACCCCAAGTTCAGCAACATTTGCTTGGCAGAACAGGCAAGATATCTGTCCCACACAGGAGTGTAGTCTCACTGACTAGCAGCAAGAGTTGGCCTCAATAATCACCTTAATTTCTTACCCGAACTCTCACAGCCAGGCATTGACTTATTCACAAAAGAACCACTGACACTTTTCTAAGGAGCTTAAAGACAGGTCTCCAGGCTAAAGAGACCTCGACCCGATCCAGGAGAGCTGTTCTTATGACATAAACCTCTGCATTGAAAAGCACAGGAAAGTTAATCAGCTCAATACTAGCCTGCAGAACCTTACCCCTCTCATTCCCATGTAGTTGTGCTGCTCATATCGGTCCCCTGGCTTTTGGAAAGGAAATGTACCATCATATCCACTAAGGTAGCCAGCAAGTCCAATCAGCATCTGAAGAGGAAAGGTGAAAAAAAAACTGGTCAGGGAATTTGCACTGGAGGAAAAAGCACCGAAGCCAGCAGCAGGTAAAATTTTTATAGAAGCCAAGACTGATCCAGAGGACAACTACTTAATTCAGACATATCATCCAAACAAGAGTTTATGTATAGATAACATATGCAAACACATTGCTCTTTGTCTAAAGGCAAAATCAGGACAATTTTGGCTATGGACTATGACTGCATGCTAAAGAGAAATAGCAGGTGTGGGATTGAGCAGGGACAATTCTGTCTCTCTAGAATCTCCCATAGCTCCCTATCCCTTTAGGTTCAGAAGACTCAGTCTGAAAGGAAGATAACCTTGTCGAGGCAGTAGGAGTGCATCTTCATCAGCACTACACACTGTTGCTAAAACAAGTCAGAATAGAAAATCAGAGCTCTCAGGGTCCTTTGTGGTAGGCATCTCACTCGCACACAGGTTATCACAAGCTGTTTGTTTCCTTTCAAATGTAGGCTGCTATGACATAACCCCTCCAAGCCATAACTACCACACTGATTTTTTTAATTTCAAGCCTTTCAAATACCCAATGTACAATACCATAGTTTTCCCTTATTTGAAGTATTTTTGTAAAGACAAGAAGTTGCAAGTTGAGGTTGTGGATAGAGAATGCAAATTATCATGATGCCCAACAACAGGAAAGACAATGGAGTTTATCACAACCTTCGTCCAGAAGGCAAGAATAGACTTTTATTGGCCCACTCCTGTGGTTTCTAAAATATGTAACAGAAAAGCAGTTTACCTTCCCCAAAGGAGGGTGGACATCAAAGAAGAAAGTCCGATTAATGTAGTAACTTCCCATCTTCCCAAAATGAGTTTCATCCCAACTGGAAAAAAAAACCAACAAAACACAAACAAAACAAAACTTAACAATAACCAATATTCTATAATGCTGAAGACAGTAAAAAAAAAATCCAGGAAAGTCTTTTCATCTTTTCATCATACAGAGGGTTACTGCCACACATTCAATACAGATGATGCATTACATTTACTGGGAAATACTTAAGTCATTCTAGGATGGGCCCTTTTTTTAAAGTTTGATATCAGCACTCCAGAATCTCTAGTCTGCCTTCTGATTCCAGGCTGACCTCCGAGATGTTAAGAAGTCAGCCTGACGCCCACAGTCCCACAAAACCGCCTCTCCAGGACCCTCTGCAGCACGTCCCGAGAGCGGCGGCGAGGAGCGGGCTGGCCAGAGAGAGCAGCGCTTCCCTGGGGTCCTCCCTGCCAGGGTCCCGTCCCGCCATCTGTCTGGGATAAACACGGGGCTCTCCCAAGCCGGGCAAGGCCGGGGCGCAGGCTGGGTGTCAGGGCCAACCCCGCCGCAATCCGCCGGCTGCTCCCGGAGGAGCGGACACGGACAACGGACACGGACACGCACTCCGCACCCCGGGGGCTCGGGCACTGCCCGCCACGGGGGGAACGCACGCCCCGCCCGGCCCGTACCAGACGTTGCGGCGGCTCCGGCAGGCGGTTGAAGCGGGAGGCGAAGCTGAGGTGACAAGGGCCAGCGCGGCCGGGCGGGCGGAGACCGGCGGAGCGGTGGGGCGGCCCGGCCGCCCCGGCCCCCCCGGCCCCCGCGGGCTCCCCTGGCGCGGGCTGGCCACAGGATCCGCCGCGCGCGGACCGCGCCGGGAGCGGCGCATCCTGGGCACGACTGCAGGGCGGGCATCCGCGGGCACGCCGGGGGATTTATCCGGGATGCAGTCCCGGCTGCCGCCGAGTCTGAGCGGAGCCGGACGGGAATGAGCGCCGTCGCCGCCAAGGTACGCGGCGCTGGCTCCGCGCTCTCCCTGCGGAGCGGAGCGTCCCCGCCGGGCGGGAGGGGAGCGGGGACGATGGCGGCGCCAGAGCTGGAGGGAGCGGGCTTGGGGCTCGGTTCGCTCGCAGGGATCGCGGCCGCAATCGGCTTCTGGTGCCCTGGCTCCCCGGAAAGGCCGCCATGGCGATTCCCGGGAGGACTGCTGCCCCGGTGTCTCTGTCTCAGTGGAGAGCAAGGAATTTGCTGAATAAAACTAATGCTTCTCAAAGCATTGGTGTTTACTTATCGTAGTTTATCCACGTGCGCTGTTAACACCAAGGCCTGCCGCAGAGACACTGAGAGTTTAGGAGCAAAGCTGTTGTTTCTGCTTGTACCTTTACATTTGAACCCAGCAGAATACAAGGGGTGCCTTTCAGACACCGAGGTTTCCCCTACACCAGCCCCCAAGGAGCAGTGTATGTGTGCAGCCTGCTTGTTGTCATGGGTCTCAGGAAAGAGGTGAAAGGCTTTGCCTTCCCAAGTGCACCCCGAATATAGCCTAGAAAGAGGTGGTATCCAGAGCAGACCATACTGAAGTAGACAGGCATGGAAACCTGAGAACTCGACACATAGTTTGGGGTATTTCTTCCAACTTCCACAACAGTGAAATGCATTTCCCAGACTTTAACTCTCAACGGGTATTTAAGCCCAAACTTTCCTCACAGATGCTGGAAATGAAAACAGAACCAAAACAGAAATCTCAGTAGACATCAAGCAAATGTTGTTCTCCTTCTACCATCCCAGTTCCAGCCAGTCTAATGTGCAGCTTATGGGGCTTGTACCCCATGGGGTTTTAAATGCAGGCACTTCTTTTTTCATACTTCCCTGGCCCGTGCTCAGCTTTTCCTCTGAGAAAGATACAGTGTCACTGTGGGACCTGTCCACTGAGGACAAAACACTCCTACTGTCTCTAATCTTTACTTAGATGATTGTTTTTGCCTGTGATCTGCCCTGCTGCTGGGAGCAAAGCAGCATGAACTCAAGAGACCAGTCCAGACCCCAGCCTCTGGGCACACAGTTATTAGCTGAATGACAGGTTGTTTTCCATGTTCCTTTTGGTGAAATCCCCCAAGGGCCTTGAAATTATAAAGCAAGGCAATTAGGCTAGTACACTTTATTCCAAATAATAGCACAGGCTGCAAAAACAAAAAAGAACTGTAGAGAGGATCAGAAGAAATGTCTCTACCAGAGTCCGAAATAGATGTGGTGAAGGACATAAATTTCTGAGCCAAAAAATCATTTGCAAGGTCCTCAGGAAAAATAACTAAAAATACTATGTCATGAATGCTGTATATCTCTCTTCTGAAGCCACAGTTTCTGTTTCTTTCCCTGCAACCCGGCAGGCTAGACATATGGGGGAAAAAAAAAAAGCATAGCTGAGATTTCTAATACCCTGATCCCAGAAGCAGAGAATTTAAGAAAATCAGGAAATACTCTGTCCACTAAAATGTTGCCAATACTGCCATCATTTCCCTCCTCACTTATAAACCATTTTCCAGTAAATTTGGCTAGAGTAATTTAATCAAAGACATACCTCATTTAAACTTATTTGAACCAATCTAAACTGTAAGAGAAGCATCAGGGTTACAAAGAGGACTGGATCTTCAGTGTCTCTCTGGTTTTCTGTTGACAGACTCTCATTGGGCAAATCCCTGCTTTCTTCTGCCTTACTACCAGTATCTGGAATAATTTCTATGCATTCTGGGAGAGCAGAGATGCAGAGAGATCCCTGGCATGCCATGGGATCTATGGAAGGAAGGAGAGACATGATTACAGGTTTATTTAGAGACATACATGAATACCAGTTTCCTGTGTGGAAAGAAAAGACCGTTACACAAAAAAGCAATCTTTGTATTTTGCACAAAGTTGGTCTGGGAGCAGAATAGTAGCTTCTCCTAGTCCTGCAATGTAGAAAACCCTCTGCACTGGCTGGCACTGACAGCAGAAGGGCTCCAGGAGCATCCTAAGGGACCTCCCTGCAAAGGCAGCCCGTGTTCCTGGAGCTTGCAGTCATTCCCAGAGCTTGCAGTCATTCCCTAATGAAATGGAAATTCTGCATGTGGCTTTTCTTTCTTTGTTTTGTTCCCCAGGGACATATTTCTGCATTGGCAGCTGCTGACAGCCTGAGAGGCTCTCTAGATATCTTATTTATGGATGAAATGCTAGGGAAATAAAGATAGTTCCTAAATGTGCTTCCAAGCTTAAATCTGGTTAATAGTTCTGGTATTGGGGCTGGGAGGAGGTGAGGGCAGTGATTCAGGATGAAATCTGATTGGCTGTTTTTTGTGTCCTTGGCACAGAGTTGGGGGCATAGTCCTTTCCTCATTGGTTTTAGGAGAAAAGCCTTCCCCCATCCCAGCTGAGTTAAAAGGGAAAACAAAGGGGTTTTTTTTATTTCCTGGAGTAGACTGCACACACTGACCATGGCATCTGAAAAGGTGAGAGCTTGAACAGGGTGGAAGCATCCGAGAAATGTGCCTTGGTGCTATAGTTCATGTAGAGATGAATTGTCTGTCCTCATGGCCTTCATCTCAAACAGCAGAAGCTCTTCTTGTTTGGAAAGAGGCCGTGCCCTTCCCCGTGAGGCTGAAAAAGCTGTTTCATGCCATGCAAATATCCAGTGCAGGTGGTTGGCACAATCAGTGGAATTGGTTTCAGAAATCTAAGATGGTATAGAAGATACCAACATCAGATAGGGACTTCAAAAAGGGAAACTTCAAAGGGAATAATTTTAAGGTCACTTGTGCATTGCTGGAAACATCAGGTGCAACTAAATTATTAGAGTCTTTATCATGTCTATTTCATGTATTTATCATGAAAGACAGTGATGCCCAAATCAGGAACAACCACTTTCAGAAAGGAGTCCTCTCTTTCCCAAACATTGCTCTTCCCTGTCTTACAGTTCCTGAAATACCTTCTGCTCATGCATTCTTCTCCTTACAGTACTCTGGTGTTCCCAGCATATAACCATTCTATCTGTCCTTCTCTTCTCAGCCGATACTTTATAGCTATTTCCGAAGTTCCTGCTCTTGGAGAGTGCGAATTGGTAAGACCCAGTGTTGAGATCTCTTTTTTTTTTTTTTCCTCTCAGTGGTATTGCAGTATCCTCCCCTTCACCAACTCGATTAATCAATCACCTATTAAGAGAGAGGTCAGCAAACATGAACTGGAACAGTGAGGCATTTTCCCAGGGGGAGGGAAGGGAACACCACAGCTTACCTGGAGCAAGTGGGATGGAGGGGAACAGATAAGAGGCCTTCATGATATTGCCTCAGACTCTGGTATGCCCAGGTCTTGAGAGCTAAGCAAGGCTGGGAACAGCCCCTACTTGTACTGAGACAGCAGTGTTTTGCAGGTGAGCACGTGGTCCCTTGCCCTCTGTAAGACAAGTCAGGAAGGGCTGTGCTGCAAAGAGTGGCAAAACTTGTTTTGAAAAATGCAGTGGTTTTGCCAGGACTGATCTTTAGTGCTTTGATCCATCACTTCCAAGAGCACTGTCTTCTCAGTGGACTCAGACCACCCTCCTTGAGGGATATGGTCTTTTTTTAAAATGGAGATGGTAACATGTCGGGAGTGGGAAATCATGAATTTTATGTCTTGTTTATAGTGTATTATATTATCTTTTCATGTATTACGCCTTATTTGTGATGTATGTAAAACCTGTGTTCTTACTGGTTGATTTTTGGTGCATTACCATGTATGGTTATGTTTTCCTTTATAGTCATAATTTACATGCCCCACCTTAACTCCACCTTTTGTTCCAGAACCTTCCCTACCCTACCATATATAAGGCGGAGGCCATTTTATGTTGGAGCTTTTTTGCTTATAATCCTTGCCTGTTCGGTTCAGTTCCTCTTCAGTAAAGCCTTCTAGCCTTTTCACTCACGAAGTTGTGGATCTGGCTTTCTCCTTTGTGACTTCCACAAATGGCGCTCAAGCAGAGGGCACAACTAGAAGGTCTCTGAAGTTCAAAGAACTCGCCTGCTCCCCTTGAAGAAAAACTGCAACGAGACTGAACTCCAACACTC